TGCCTGTCAAGCCAAGAAGCCAGGTTGAGATGTCTTTTTTTTTTTTTTCTTATTCCTTTTTTTTCCCCTTCTTTTTTGAGACAGTCTTACATAGCTCAGGTTAGCCTCAAATTCATTATGTAGTCAGAGATGACCTTGAACTTCTGATCTTTCAGCATCTACCTTCCAAAGGCTGGGTTACCTGTGCCACAGTGCCCTGTTCTATGTAGTATTGGAGACTGAACTCAGGACTATGCTTTTTAAAGTTTAGGAAGCTCATTGCTTAGAATCCTTCCTGAGTTGGTACCTGTATTGGATAGTAGCATGTCAACTTGACACAAGCTAGAGTCATCTGTGAGGCAGGAACCTCAATTAAGAAAATGTCTCTATAAGATCCAGCTGCAGGCAAGCCTGTAGGACATTTTCTTAATTAGTGATCGATGGACGAAGACCCAGCCCATTGTGGGTGGTGCCATCCCTGGGCTGGTGGTCCTGGGTTGTGGTGGTATTGTGTTCCCCGAAATATTGTGCACCCTAATAAACTTATCTGGGTTCAGAGACAGAACAGCCACAATATTAAACATAGAGGATAGGCAGTGGTAGCACACGCCTTTAATCCTAGCATTCCAGAGGCAGAAATTCATCTCTTCAAGGATACAGCCAAGCATAGTGACTCATGCCTTTAATCCCAGAAAGTGAACCTTTAATCCCAGGGAGTGATGGAAGAAAGAGAAAGATATATAAGGCGCGAAGACCAGAAACTAGAAGCGTTTGGCTGGTTAAGCTTTCAGGCTTTCGAGCAGCAGTTCAGCTGAGATTCATTCTGGATGAGGACTCAGAGGCTTCCAGTCTGAGGAAACAGGACCAGCTGAGGAACTGGTGAGGTGAGGTGGCTGTGGCTTGTTCTGTCTCTCTAATCTTCCAGTATTCACCCCAATACCTGGCCTCAGGTTCGATTTTATTAATAAGAACTTTTAAGATTCATGCAACACTGGGTTCTATAAGAAAGCAGGTTGAGCAAGCCATGAGAAGCAAGCCAGTAATCAGCACTCCTCCATGGTCTCTGCATCAGCTCCTGCTTCTGGGTTCCTGTCCTGTTTGAGCTCCTGTTTTGACTTCCATGAAAGACTATGAGAGAGTAAGGCTTTCCTTTTCAGTTTGCTTTGCTCATAGTATTTCATCAGAGCGATAGAAACCCTAACTAGGACAGTACCCACGTATAACTGCTCCCTGGCCTTCAGTGTATATATACACCCTATGGGGCATATGGACGGCTCTGTGCTGTTCAGCTGCCTTGGCCTATTTTGCACTTGGTCACCTACCTCTCTTCACTGGTGTCGCTTGCTGGGATAGTGTGCTCTCAGTGAGGGGCTGCAGGAAACAGCTGTGCCTCACTGAGGGACAGAGCGATGTGTTTCCAGTCACCTGCCTTCTCCTTTGAAATGCTGAAGGACCGCGTCAGGACCACACAGAGGTCTGAGACTGAAGTAGACCTCCACAGGGGAAGATGGGGCAAAGATGGCCGTCACCGTCTTCCTTCTCCAGTCCCTACCGGGAACTTATAATCCTCCAGCCTCAGCATGTCTTCATATGTAACAGGCTGTTCCGTGAGCCCAGCTATCTGTGCTGTCTGGAGGTATATTTGGGCTTCTGTCAGAGTCTCTTCCTCCTTATTTGTTTATGATAGTCTGGCCTCAAACTCCCATATAATCAAAGATGACCTTGAACTCCTGCCTCTACGTCCCAGTGTTGGGAGTACAGGCCAGCACCCGACATACCTGCTCGAAAAGGATTATTTTTAATTTCTTGTGAGACAATGCATCTATCTTCATGGTCTGGTTGGAGGTTCACTTACTGTTTTGACCAGGCTATGCTTCCCTCTCCACATTTAGTTTTTGGGGTGGGTCATTGCCATCCCCAGCAAGTGGATGCCACCAAGTAGAATTTCCTGTAACTGTGTCCACCCGGCTCCTGTAGCCACTCAGATCCAATTAAACACACAGAGACTTATATTACTAATAAACTGTATGGCTGTGGCAGGCTTCTTGCTATCTGTTCTTCTGTCTTAAATTAACCCATTTCTATTAATCTATAAGTTGCCACGTGGCTCATGGCTTACCAGTATCTTAACATATGCTTCTCATCGTGGCGGCTGGCAGCGTCTCTCTGCCTTAGCCTTTTACTTTCCAGAATTCTCTCTTTGTACCGCCTCTACTTCTTGCCTGGCTACTGGCCAATCAGCATTTTATTTATCCATCAATCATAGCAACATATAGTCACAGCATACAGGATGTCCCACAGCAATTTCCAGGGTAGGGAGCTGGAGCTCTTTCCATTTATGTGCGTTTGTTTTTGGCTTTGGCTTACAGCTCAGCTCCTGAGAAATCCATGGACTCTAGGGGTGAGCTGAAGGCTGTGGTCAACACAGCCAAGGCCAAAGGTCGGGCTCGGGGTGGTGTGCATTGTGTCACGGGACACTTCCCCACTGTGGCCACTAGGAGGTGTTCAGGGATTTTTCTCTTAGCCAGTTGCCCTGCCAGGAGTGGTCCTCAGAGGAGAGGTGGAATGTCAGAAGGGTTCAGGTTCTTGTATTTCAAATATCTTAATTAAGATAATTTATAAAGCCATTCTGGAGAAAAACGTACATGGGGGAAAGTTTGGGGTAAAGGGGAAGAAGCGATATAAAGAGGGCAGATCTGTCCTGCAGTGCTTTTGCTGAGGGACCTCCTCAGACACACATCATCCTATCACAGCGTGGTCTTGGCATTGGGCTAGGAGGGACGCAGCAGACAGACTCAAGATCAGAGAGCAGACTGTGTGTACACTGATGGGTGGTAAGGCTCCAGAAGAGTGTGTGTAGACAGTGTGTGTAGACACTAATGTCCGTCAGAGTGCCTGGTTACACTATTCATCGCTTTCCCCCACATCAGGAAACACTGTGTCGCCATTCTCAATAATACACAGGCATGGGGGTGGGGGTGTATACATGCATGCACAAATATTGATATAGTATTAATGAAGGTTAATTTTGGCCATGACATTCAAATTAGTTTGATCTTCAAAATATCTTGGCAGCCAGGCATGGTGGTACAAAGCTGTAATCCATCCCCACACTTGAGGGGTAGGAGCTGGGGTGTTGATGCGAGACTCGGCCTAGCTGAGCAAGGCGGGGGGCATGAGGCTGTCTTGGGCTCTATAGTGAGCTCTTGTCTCGGTGCCTTTCCCTCCAGGTTTTCCTGCCTCTGAATCTGTCTCCTCTGTGTGTTGGATTTATAAAAGAAAAGTTATTCCAATAATGCTTTGCTTCCAGAGGGTAGAGAAGGCCCACATCCTAGCCAGGAGCACAGGCTCTCATCTGGCCCCTGTGAGTCCTGTGCATCCACTTGAAACCTGCTTCCACCTAGCTATACTCTAGGAGTATGGGCAGACCCTGAGCTGGGCTCCTAACCCCTGCCCATAAAACAAAGTCAGTGCTCTCAGCCTGCGTTCTCTGTCACCACGTCCTGCCACTGAGCACCCCTTCCTGACCTCTCCTGGCATGCTGGGATGACAAAAAGCGGCAGAAGGTTTTTGGACTACACCCCAAATCCGTGCTTCTTCTAGTTCTATGCCTCTGAGCACACCGGAGGTGTCTCCGAATTTGCCTGCCTCCTCGACCTCCACCCTTTGGATTCTGCCTACTTTCTCTTTACAGAGTGCTTGTGTGGAGGCCTCTGTGAGCGGCTTTACCCACCCATAAAGCACAAAGCACTGAGCATCAGCTCCTCCCAGGTTGAGTGACAGCCGACAGGGTCAGTTGTGAGCTGCCATGAACCCTCTTTACTGCACTCCCAGTCTCCCAATCCAAGGAACACCCCAGAAGGGAAAAAAATGCACACCCAGGAGCTACTCAGGCTACTAAAGATGCCCCCTGACATGCAAATGCGAACACAATTCTAATCATGTACACAGCAGCTAGGTACAAACACCAGGTCCATGACCACACAGACATATATACATACCTGCATGTGCACATGCATGAGAAGGCATGGGCTCACATGCAATGCTCATTTGAATGTAAAAGCAGAGTTGTATATCCAATTCACCCATTCTAGGGACTTCGTTTTTTAGCACTTTCTAAAGGCCATGTTTGGTTGTCAGGCTCTTGGGATGGGTAAAGCCACTCAGAATCCTCCATACAACCAACTGCTCAGCAAAGAGGATGCAGGCAGAATCCAGAGGGTGGGAGCTGAGCAGGCAGGCCAATCCAGAGATGCCGCCAGTGCACTCTGTGTTGTATATTTTCTACAACATAATTATAGGTAGAAGATCATGCCTTCTTGCTCTCCTTTATAATTTACCTGGTTCCTCAGGAGAGGCTGCGAATGAAGCTCACGAGAGTCAGTCTTCGGCCTCACACGCTGCCTAACTGACTCCAGTTTCCTGTGCTATGACTAGGGTTCCCTGTGGTTTCTGGTGTGACGGACTAGACCCAGACCAAAGTTCCCAGGGGACATGACCGAGGGGACTTTTACCTTCTACCCTGATACCTAATAAGAAAAGTCTTGGTCTCATCCTTGACTTAAAGGCAATTCTTAGGGAAAGCAGAAGAAAAAAAAAATCACCCCTTAACAAAGTAACTCTTTGGGGGTAGTTTCAATAATGTAAACTGTGATTTTTATTGAAATATTGTTTTGTCAAAACATTGCTGGATCCAGAAAGCTAGAAACTGAGTACCCCAAATTCCAGAACTGGGTAGAACCTCAAGTTTTTCCAGTGGAAGGAATTAAAGATCGGAGGATGGATCCTTCAGGTGGCTCAGGTACTGTAAGGACACTGATATGTTCCCCGGAACTAGTATAGCACCATTGTCTCCAGAGGGGGCTGGAGGACGCTCACGGCACCCAGTGGTCTGGGTGGGGAGCTGTCACTCACAGTCTGTTCAATGACAGCCTTGTCTCTCCTCAGCAGACAACCTGAAGCCTCCAGCTGAGCTAGCACCAGAACTCGGAACAGGAAGTCCTTGGAATCTGATTGCTGTTACCATGGTACCCACAACCACCCCCAGGAAACCAAAGGCAGGCTCCCCCAGCTAAGCATCACGGCCCATAGGAGAAAGGGGTGAGCCCCAGGTGTCATGAGAGCTTTCAAGATTCAGGCTCAGAAAGTGCCCAGCCTCCAGCTCTGCCGTAATTTGGAGTCCAGTGCAACGACCCTTCCTCCACCCCACACGCAACCTCTGTGACCGTCCTCCCGCATCACCCCTCGTGGGGAACAGGACTTCAGAACTGTAAGTGGATCTGGTACCTCACACACAGCAGAGCCCGAGGGCTCACCCAGTGATGAGAGCTGCTTGCATGTAGCTCCGCCAGAGCAGGAAGGCACGTCAGGGGTTCCTGGCTGGGAGCTGAAGGAGGGTCACAGACGGCTTCCTCACCAGAGGACGGAGGAAGCCACAGTTAAAGCTCACCAAGAGCACAGCTCCCAGTGAGCCATCAAAATCACAGTACATTTTAATGCCGTCGGAACGCCCTGGGGCTCAAGGCCAGCTACTAAGACACTTGAGAAAAGGAAGCAGAAGTTGGACAGCAGCCTCTAAGCTAAAAGAGCCTTCTGTAGGGAGGGTCCTGGCAGGAGCAGTTGTTCATGTGCTGACCAGCTCTGCATGAGGTCCACATGAAGCCCCTCCTCTCTCCTTAGATGCCTCTGGGCCACACTGATGACTCAGAGCTCTTATCTAGGACAGTGGAAAGTAGGCAAGGTTTTTAGGCTAGGGAGGCAGAAGCCATTCTGACTTCTGTGTAAAAAACGGGTCAGAGAAGCAGCTATGTATTTCCCAGGTTGTGGGGGCAGAGATATAGAAACCCAGCCATGAAAAAAAGAAAAACCATGTGTGTGTGTGCATGCATGTCTGTGTGTGTGTGCGCGCGCGCACAAACACATATGTATACACACACACACACACATGTTGCTGAGGATTCAATCTAGGGCAATGCACTTGCTGCTCTATCACTCAGAAGCATTCCCATCCGGGGTTGCTTTGATAGACAAGCTTTTAAATGAGAGACAGTCAAAGAAAGCAGAGACACACATAACATGCTTCCCATACATGATTCCCAGTTCAATAATTTGGAAAATATAAACAAAGCAAAACCAAATGGTATGCTGAGAACGCCACACACCTGTCAAGCACACGGGGCAGACACATAAAGCACAAAGCTTTGTGCTCCCATCACTGTGCATAGAAAGCACCCGGACAACGCTCAGGAACCTCAGCAGCCCAGGAGGAGAGTAAAGTCCAGGAACAAAGAAGTAAACGGTAGAATAACGTGTAAAAGGACACCCATGCTCACTGGTGGCCAGGGAAGTTCAAATGAGAACAGCCCGAAGCCATCTGTCACCAGATTAGCAAAAAGTCATACACCGATAAGCCTAGTACTTAAAAACTGGTGCTGGGGGTGCCAACTGTGGCAACTTTGGGGAAGGTGAATTGGCATTTCTCTACTATAATTTATAAACAAGTGTAATTCATAATTCCATTATAAGGTCTGGTTTGTAGAAATAAATGCAGCAGCATACAAAGATATATATTTAAATATATGCATGTTTGGGTACCTATGTTGGTAACATACATACATATAGTAATATAAACTACCAACCTGAATAAAGTGTGTGTGGTATGTGTTGCTCTTGCTGTTTCTGGGACTAGAAGACAGGAAACAGCTGCGATGACTAGGGATAGTGGACGATTTCAATGAAGAGTGAGGCATCCATTGTATGAAATACCATGTAACCCTTGTCAAGTTTTTCTTTCTTTTTTTCAGAATTATTTATTATGTATACAGTGCTCTGCCTGCATGTATGCCTGCAGGCCAGAAGAGGGCACCAGATCTCATTACAGATAGTTGTGAGCCACCATGAGGTTGCTGGGAATTGAACTCAGGACCTCTGGAAATGTAACCCAGTGCTCTTAACCTCCGAGCCATCTCTCTAGCCCCTGTCACACTTTTCTTTGCCTGCTGTTTTTGTATTGATCCGGCTGTTACCTTTTACAGTGTTTTTGTTTGTTTATTTTTAATATACTTTATTGTAAAGGTAAAGACAATTCTGTCTGCTCACATGGAAGGGGAATCCATGAGGCAGAGCTCATGCCCATCTTGCTCTCTGCCATATCTCAGAAACAAGCAACCCTCCCTGGGCCCCCACACAGAAGGCACCTGTAGAATGAATGCATGAGTGAGCCACTCCGCTGCCTCGGCTGCAATTGGGGTCAATGCTACTCGGAAAGCAGGGGGTAGCTGAGGGTCTTGGTTCACAAGGGCCACAGACTTTAATGTCTTCGCCTGTCCATCACTTCCCCTTCTCCTCAGTTTTGCTCTGGGGAACTGCTGTGCCCCCCATTACATGAAGTCTAGTTGGAAGAATTCCTTGGGTGTTTAAGTTAGGTCAGTGGGACCAACTTGTCAAGAATTTGACCTTGAGGGGCTGGAGAGATGACTCAGCTGTTGAGAATGCTTTCTGCTCTTGTGGAAGGCCGGGTTTGATCCCCAACATCCACATGGGGGCTTACAACTGCCTGTAACTCTGGATCCAGGAGATCTGCCGCACATAAAATAACTGTATACATTTAAAAAAATAGAGGGGCCAGAGAGATGGCTCCAGATGACTGCTCTTCCAGAGGACCCAGGTTCAATTCCCAGCACCCATAGGACAGCTCACAGCTGTCTGTAACTCCAGTTCCAGAGGATCCAACAACCTCACATCAATGCACATAAAATAAAATATAAAAGTTAAAATGTATCTTAAAAAAAGAATTTGTTCAGAACCTTGTAGAGACAGGGTGTGGGGAACTGATTCATCCCCGTGGGAACCTCTGACAAAAACAGGCTTGGTGCTTGTACCTCAGTCCCTGTAGAAGTTCCCGGTCCTTCTGGGAGTCTGTGAGTGTCCTCCTCCCATGAGCATCTTTCAGGCAATCCTACCCTCCTGTTCCTACAATTATTATTATTTTTTTTGGCATCCCATTAATCAGATAGGTTTCTGTTGCTTGTAACCAAATTACCCTAATTGCATTCAGAACCACAGAAGAATTGATGTTCCGCCAGTCCTCTTTCATGGCCTTTAAGCCAAGGTAATCATAAATCCACTGGGCTCTAGCACAGACCAGGTTCTACCTGTTGTTGGGGACTAATTGGTAAAGTTCCCCCTTTGTCTCCTGATCCAAACAAAGAATTCCATGCTCACTCTGCCTGCAGCTGTCCATCCATTGATCTTCATCCTCTTGACAATGTGAGACGTCATCATCTCTGCCACCCCATCTGAGCGGCTTTTCCAACATGACAGCATAGATCTATCCACAGATGTGCCCTTTAGAACCCAGGCATGGGGGTGTAGCTCCAGGCTGGAGCTCTTGGGTAGTATGAGGCCCCACGTCCAACACAGAGCGAGCTAACAACAGAAAGCCTAGATGCCGTCTTGCTTTGATACATGACCCACCCTTGAGGCTTTGTCGCTATTTTTGTGTGTGTGTGTGGTAAATAGAGATTCTTTAGCTCAGTCTCCACTACAATAGTCTGATGAGCTGCTTCAGGAGCGTGTTGAAATGTTCAGCTTTAGCTCTTTCGTCTTCCAGGTGCTCATCTCTTTCCTTCCGTGTCATCTCCACTATCATTCATGAAAATGTTGAATCCGGTAAGTGGATCCTTTCACCAGAAGGCAGGTAATGGTAGGGCTGGGGAGATGGCTGTTGATGCAAAAACCGCAATCCTCCCCACAACGGGGATAAGGGATAGTTTATTCTGGAGCCAAATGGAGATGATCTTGGCTCAGGAAACAGATTTAGGTTACTCTGAAGTCCGTTTTCTGACATGGTAACAGCTTCATGACATTTGATATTAACAGAACACAGAAAATTATAAATCAATACATTGTCAAGTACGCTGCCACCAGGTAGGTAGGGTCACAGCAACCTGGGGAAATCTGCTACTGGTGTGTGTGTGTGTGTGTGTGTGTGTGTTAAGTGATGACATTTTGAGATTTTAGGCTGTTAATACATTGCAAAATGTGTCACCCGATAGTCACAGGGGTGTGTCAGACACAGAAGCAGGCAAGGAATGGCTAGTAAGGGCACTGAAGCTAGCCCACGTTCCATTGTAATTAGGCTCTGGACCTGCATCATTCCAACCTCTCCATAGTTATTGAGGTCGTCATCAATGAATCAACCTCATAGAAATTTCAACATCAGGCATAGTTTCTTTCTAGGGAAACTTTCATTCACATTGCTCAGTCGAGCAATGCCGTGTGAGACTGGTGACTTGAGTTTGATCCCCCAGAACCCTTAGAAAACCTGAGTATGAGTTGAGCACCCCCAGTGCTGGGGGTGGGAAAAGACGAGAGAATCCTGGGACTTGCTAGAAAGTTGTTCTCACTGAACTGATGAGCTCTGGATTCAGAGACTCTTCATTCAGAAACTAAAGCAAAGGGTGATGAAGAAAATATCCACTGTCAGCCTCTGACTATGCACACATGCTCATGCTCACAGGCACCACACATGTGCACTGATGCTCACACACTCACACACAGCATGGGAAGACAAGCAGCACAGGGTTAGAGTGAGATTCCTATGTTCCCATAAGGGCCAGGGCCTGCACCACTGAAGGCCTCAAGCTTGACTGGCTGACTCCAGGGAAGGGCGAGTCCAGGGAGCACTGTCCAGAAACTCGAGAGCAGCCCCACGGCTGAGCCCATCCATGCTAGTGCCCCACTGCAGCAGGACCACAGCTAAACTCAGTCCACAGCGTACAGTCACCTCGCTGGGCACTGTGCTAAGAAGACACATTTCCCAATCGGTTTCATTTTATCCTCTCAGTAACTCCCAAACTAAGGTGGTATCATCATGATCGCCATCTTTGTCACCGTTATTGTCACTGCCACCACCACCATTACGAATATCATACCAATATCACCAGCACCAACACCTCACCACTAGCATTACTGCAATCAATATCACCATAACTACCCAAATCACTACCATCCCTGACATTGCCATCAGTACCATAACTATTAACATACCACTTCAATCATCATCACCATCATCTCTTTCACCACCATAACTGCCATCAGTACCGTCACCATCATCACCATAATGACATCACCAACACCACACATACCACCACCACTATTGCCATCATTATCACAATTATCACCACTATCATCACCTTTGTCTCCATTCCCATTTAAGCTAATCCCCAATTTAAACGATGTCTGAGGGGCTCAAAAGGTAAGGTGACTTGCCCGAAGCTGTCCATCAGTAAGTGGCAATAGCCGGAATTAGACTCAGATCCCACATCCCACATTTTCACTATTCCCTTGGTGCCTGGGTGACTTAGGATTGACAGCTTCCATTCCCATGGATCCCTCATGGTGAGAATTTCTTGCTAAGTGTCTCTGGGTCATGAGTCTGAGAGTTGGAAACTGCATGAACGTTCTTAGCTGCACGATTCCTAACAGCTAGAGTCAGGGACAATTCAAAGGTCGTCAGCTGATGGACCGATGCACAGATTGTGGTAGAGTCACACAATGCAATGTCATGGAGCCTCGAAAAGGAAGGAAGTGCTGATAACGTGGATGAACCTTGGAAACCTGGCCACTGAAAGGAGGCAGACACTGTGAGATTCTACACTTGCACTATCCAGAGTGAGCAAAACTATGGTCAGAAAACAGCTTAGTGGTCACCTGCCATGGGGAGACGGTGATGGATGGAGAACCTGATGGATACAGGGTCCTTTGGTGAGTGATGAAGATGTTCTGGAGCTAGATAAGGGTGATGGTTGCACAAGATTATAAACATACTAAATGCCACTGAACTGTACACTATAAATAAATAAATTTTTTTTTTAATTTTGTGTTGCGTATTTTACCAAAAAGAAAACTCTCTATCCATAGTATCTCTCTGATTGATGTTAGGCTAAGTACTTGAAGTACAGTAATATGATTACTTGTGGATTCTTAGCTACCTATAAAAAACAATTGGCCTTTTTGTCCTGGGAAGCTCTTGTTCCAGACCCCAAATTCTAAAGTACTTCATAGTTTGAAACACAGAACACAGCACCCTGATCTTAACTAGGTGCCCCGTGACGGATGCTACCCAGGTCTGAGAGTTCAGCAGCAGTTTAAAGTTTGCGTTGATTTTCTTTGTGCTACACAGTCTGGGAAAGATGGCATTTGTGTAAAGTTAAAGGCCCTTCTCTCTTTGATCAAGCAGCGCAGGATTCGGCTGGAGCGCCGGATCGTTGGTGGAACCAACCGGTGGCGTTTTCCCCAGGAGCACTTCTGTGGAGACCTGCTGGCACTCTCCCAGATGTGCAATGTTTTGAACATAGACCTTGACGACGCTCTGAAGAACCCAGACAGGTAGGGAGGACCGAAGGCCCACGGCAGGGAATGGCAGCCCAGAAAGGGAGGGGAGGTACTGGATGACTAGACCACGCTGGCTGGCTGGCTCAGGTTTGTCTATAAGGAAGCTTCACTAGAGGATCATACATAGATAGGCATGCACAGGGTCTGAAGTGACTTCTTGCTCTGACAAGGTCTGTTGATGGTGATAAAAGAGCAGCTTTCCCTTTATATATGAGCTTTGGACCCTCAGCAGATTCTAAGTTCATCATCCAGGGGCAAATGATCTCTTGAAAAAACACCATGGCTAAGTGTTTTGACGTGAATTCTCATGAATTCCCATTTCTACCCAGCCACCCTTCCCCTTCCCTCTCTTAGTAAGCAGTGTTAGCATCAGGCTAGACCATCACTTCTACAGATTGTGAGTTCTGCCTGTCCCGAGGACACAGCAAAGGAACTTATTGCGGAAGGACCCTTCACTTCTGGGTGCTTTTGCCCTGGCTTGATGCCACTAATCTCTGAACCAGAAGTCCTGTCTCGTGCTCATGGTTAAGACTGTCTAAGCAAAGGCTGCCCCGGCACAGTACCTGGCATGAAAGATCTGCTGGTTCCATGTTTGCTGAGTGACTGGTTAAATATGACCTTTAGGTTGTGGCTAAACCTCACTGAGCCTCACTTTCCTCATCTGTGAAATGGTCCTGATGGAAAATCCTTTGAAAACTCGAATAGATGGTTAAATCTGGTGCACTACAACAGGCTATGTATTCGAAATATTTATTATTATTATTATTATTATTTTGGTTTTTTGAGACAGGGTTTCTCTGTGTGGCTATGGAGCCTTTCCTAGAACTCACTCTGTAGCCCAGGCTAGCCTTGAACTCACAGAGATCCACCTGCCTCTGCCTCCGGAGTGCTGGAATTAAAGGTGTGTGCCACCACTGCCCAGTGGAGTATTATTCTTACAAATAGTAGACTCTGAAAAAATTGTACGATTTTCTTGGTGTAGTCTGCCATGATGGGGTGGGGGGATGGGATAGATTTTCTTTCACAAACATGGGGATTGGAATTCTGTCTTTGTAGTGGGAATCTGTAGTGAAAAACTCTTGGAAAGTGCCTTAAAGGTTCTATTTGTTTTTCTGTTTACTTCTTTTTCTTTTTCTTTTTTCTTCTTCTTCTTTTTTTTTTTTTTTTTTTTTCGAGACAGGGTTTCTCTGTGTAGCTTTGCGCCTTTCCTGGGACTCACTTGATAGCCCAGGCTGGCCTTGAACTCACAGAGATCCGCCTGGCTCTGCCTCCCGAGTGCTGGGATTAAAGGCGTGCACCACCACCGCCCGGCTGTTTACTTATTTTTCATGTTGATAGACAACATTTAATTTAGGTAATAAAGGAAGTATTCCTAATAATGTGCACCTTTAGATACCAGGAGACTTTCTGCTGTCACATTCCAAGGCCACTGTGCATGTGAGTGTCTGGAATTGTATTGTGTAGCACCCATGTGTCTCCCAAAGCACACACAGCTCCTCCCCCATCAGTAAAGTCCTGGCCCTGCCTCTTGTGTTGTAATTGTGGCTTCTCCCACTTGGGGTCACTGTCAACTTTGACAGGAGCCAGATCAGACTGTAGTAAACATATTGCATCAAGGGCCACTCGGCTCCCAGCCCCCGTTTATTTTGGATCTGTAGCTGTGCCTAGGACTGGTCAGTGCCCTGGGTGCCATCCAGCTGGCCACCTCTGCTTGTTGTGTCTGTGGGTTCCCAGGGTGTGGGGGACTCTGAGGCTACTCACTTCTGCATGCTGTGCAGAGCTCTGTGGATGGCTTTGCCTGGAGTACAGAATGGGGTCAGGGCTGAGAGACACCGGAGTATTGACTCCTTTTGTACAGCCCTAAATTCTTTTGTTTGTTTGTTTGTTTGTTTGT